CCCCTATCACACACTGTACCCCCCACACACACTGTACCCCTATCACACACTGTACCCCCACATACACTGTGCACCTATCACACACTATGCCCCTATCACACACTGTACCCCCACACACTGTACTCCACACACACTGTACCCCCCACACACACACTGTACCCCACTCAAATTCACTGTACCCAACACACACACTTACTGTACCATTCATACACTGTACCCCTCAGACACACACTGTACCCCTCACACACACACTGTATCCCTCACAAACACTGTACACCCCCACACATTGTACCCCTTACACACTGTACCCCTAACACACTCATGCTTAACCCCACCACACACTGTATCCCTCACACAGACACTGTAGCCCTCACACAGACACTGTACCACTTACACACACTGCACTCAGCGCTGTATCTAGTGCGAGGCTGACAAGGCACTTGCCTTGGGTGGCACTTTCAGGGGGGCAGAAAAAAAATCTGACCCCAATCACCCTTAGGGCCCCCCAAGGCTGGCATCTCCTGATGTTGTCGGCGGATGGTGAGGGAGCACTCTCCCCTGAGCTCTCCCTGAGTGATGCCAGAGCTGGAATATGACATCACTCGGGCCCCGGCATCACTAACAGGCACGCAAGCTGAGCAGGAGGATCTGAGCTCCCTCGCTACCCACCTCCAATGGGAGCCTGCCTGCCCGCCCACCCGTGCCTGCCAAGCCAGCCCACCTGTGCCTGCCGTGTCAGCCACACTGGACCTCATGGAAGAATCCACTCCAGCACTCCTAAAGGTAGGGAGGTGTGTCTGTTAGTGAGTGTTACTGTGTCTGTTAGTGAGTACTAGTGTTTGTCTGTTAGTGAGTGTTAGTGTATCTGTTAGTGATTGTGTGTGTGCGTGTGTGTCTGTTAGTGAGTGTGTTAGTAAGTGAGTTCGTGTGCGTATGTTAGTAAGATTGTGTGTCTGTTAGTGAGTGTGTTTGTGTGTGTATCTGTTAGTGAGTTTTAGTGTGTCTGTTATTGAGTGTGAGTGTTAGTTTGTATCTGTTAGTGAGTGTGTGTATCTGTCAGTGAGAGTGTGAGTGTGTGTGTCACTGAGAGTGTGTGTCTGACTGTGTGTGTATGCATGTCTGTCAGTGTATGTATGCATGTTTCAGCGTGTGTGTGTATCCATGTCTTTTAGTGTGTGTGAATGTGTGTCTGTCAGTGTATATTTGTTTCTGTCAGTGAATGTGTATGTCTGTCAGTGTATTTCTGTCAGCTAGTGTATGAGTGTCTGTCAGTCAATGTGTGTGTCTGACACTGAGTGTATATATTTCTGCCAGTGAGTGTTGTATATCTGTGTTTGTTAGTGTGTATTTGTCAGTGAGTATATGTGTGTCCCAGTGTGTGTGTCTGACACTCATTGAGTGTGGATGTGTGTCTTGTGAGTGAGTGTATATGTGTCTGTCAGTGAATGCGTGGCAGTTAGTGTAGATGTGTATCTGTTGGTGAATGTAAGTCTGTGTAACTGTGAGTGAATGTAACTGAACTTGTGAGTGTGTATGTGTATGTTTCAGTGAAAGTGTGTGGTGGTTAAACTGTGTGTGTGACAATGTCATGAAGAGAAATTTTGAAGGAGGGTGCGGGGTGCACAAAACCAGAATACACCACTGACTGTACCCCTCACACACACTGCACACCTCACACACTGCACCCCTAACATACACAAAGCGTGCCCCTCACACTGCATCCGTCAGACACCCACAAGCTGTTCCCCTCACACACACTGCACCCCTCACACACACTCTGCCCCTTTACACACACAAACTGTTCCCCTCCACACACTGTATCCCTCCATGCACCTCACACACACACACATTGCACCCCTCACACACATACACACACACTTCACTCCTCACACACACTGCACCACTCACACACACACACACACTGCATCCCACACACACACTAATGCCCCTATATCCTACTAGAGCTCCTATCCCGGAAGACTCAAGGTAAGTTGTCAAACTGTTCTAAAACGGTTTGAATACTTATTCTGGGAGGGCACCACGGCACTCCTGGCACCATAACCACTACGTAGAGCTGCAGTGGTTATTGTGCCTGGATTGTTCCTTTAAATAATCTACCAGTGCTTCTCCCGAGATTAGGTTCCGCCCCTGAATGACAATGCTACACCCACACTGTGACACATTATACATGCTATCACATATAGGTACACAAACACTGCTACACACACATGCACAGCCAGACATAGTACATACACTGTAAAAAGTATTTGAGTTATTTAACCCCTTAATGTTCGAGAACGGTTCAGGACCGTCATCGGCATTTTAACGTTGCCGACTGCAGACTGTCACAACGGTATTATGTACTTACCTGATTGCCGTCGTTCCTCCGGCGGCGATCGGCGTTGCTCCCGGTGTGGGGAGACTGCCTGCAGCCCAGACAGTCTCCCCATGGTGAATTAGGACCCCTGGGGCCATGTGATCGGTGAACAGAGCGATCACATGGTCACAATAGGTGTCCTAGTGTCTGCCTGCAGGGGAATTGCCTGTGCTGACAGGCAGTCTCCCTGCTAGTGTAAATTTTTTAAAAAAAATAAAGGTTAATGTTCATAAAAAAATAAAATTATGTATTTTTATATAAATATATTCATATATTAATATAAAAATACACTTATAATTAAATTACACACGTGTATATATATATATATAATAACTATATATTGTATATATATATATATTATAAAATACAAATAATAAGTAAATTAAATTAAATTAAAAATTTTTAAAAATAATAAAAATTAAAAAAAATTTATATCTATATGAAATTTTATTCTAACTGTATTTTGATATTAATATATATATATATTTATATCAAAATACACTTAGAATGAAATTGTATATATATCTATGTATATATAAATAAATAAAAATAATACGAAATATACATATGTCCATATACAAAATTGCATAAATAATTATATAAATATACACCAAAAAAGAGAGAAAACTTTGGATTTAGGTAGATATTGTGTATCACCCAGATCCCTAGTTTCTCATGAGTGTAGCGCTGAGTGCAGAGAATATAAAGTGAATTTTTCAGTGAAGGAATAGTGCTAAAACACGCACTTACCCTATATATTGTGCTTTAGTTTTCTTAATGGTATACCAAGAAAAAAGAACATAAAAACATACAAATAATAGTGTAGTATATTAAATAAATGTTATATAAAGTCCTTTAGTTATGGATGATAAGTTGAAATGAACTCACATTTTTTAGAGCCTTTTACAGTTATAAGGCTCTAAACTTCCAGGTGTCTGTGTCTTTTTTAGGGTAGATCACACGACCCGTCTCTGAAGGTGAAAAAGGGCGTAAATTCCTCTCCACGTTGCATAGAAAAAAGACACAGATATCCCCAATCTAAATGTAGTATTTTAGATACTGATATAGATCAATGTAAATAAAATACAAAAGTGCTCACCTTCTCTAGAGCCTCTGGTAACCGGCTCTAAGTATTTTAGCCTAGTGTCGATTAATAGGGATGACACTTTCCCCTTCTTGAAATCACTTGCGCAGAGTATGATTGAATAGTGAATAAAATGTATATATTTATTTAGAAAACTATTAAAATGTATACATACTACTAGAAAATAATAAAAAACAATTACATATAATATAAGTATATTGCACCCAATATACTTATATTATATGTAATTGTTTTTTATTATTTTAAATTACACACGTGTATATATAGGTCCACCTAGTTAGCCAAAACGCGTTTCACCGAAAAGAACGGCTTCCTCAGTCAGCTTCAAACAATACTATGCATCAAGTCTCCTTTTTGTATCTTCAAATTTCCCACCAGAAATTTCCTCTGCTCGTTGGTGTTGATTGCGTCCAGTATCCCCAGTATGGCGTCACGTCACTTCCGCCCTTTGATCCTACAAGTTCCATCATGCTTTGGGTTTACCGACGTCACTTCCGGTTTTCGCGGGCAAAAGTGCCGTCGCGTCACTTTCGGTTTCGTAAACTACACGTCCCATGGTGCAACTGCACCTCAATCTCAGTTCTTAGAAGTGATATTCGTTTCATTGTTGTCCCTTTTTTTCTAAAGATACACTCAGGACATATTTAAACAGTAAACACATCAGTAATGTGATAACAAACCACAAGGAGAAATAGAAACAATAAAAAATGGCATTATATATACAGTAAAATGTCTGATCAATATTATATTTTAATACATTAAAGAACTTTATATTATTCCAGTGTTTAAAATATATATTGCCTAAAGTATTTATATGGTTCTATAAGTATATAATAATTTATCATTTAAAACTTTTAGGTATATAGATCCCTCCTTGGTATATTCCTTAGGTCCAACAACAATAATATATATTAAAATTATGGTGTTTAGATTTATATAAAACAAATTGGTTGAAAAATAAAAATAACTTTTTAATAATAAACTAAACATCTTAAAAATAAATTATGAAAAATGATTATAAAAAATGACATAATTCAAAATCTGCATTCAAGCCTTGGGGGGTTAGAGTGTTTAAATTAAATATCCATTTTGTTTCTAATTGACCTAATTTTCTTATTTCATCCTCCCCTCGCCAATTTAAGGTGACTTTTTGGATAGCATAAAAATCTAGGAATTGTGGGTCCTTATCATGTATTAGTCTAAAATGGTCTGAAACACTATGTTTATCGTAGCCCTTCTTAATGTTCCGTATATGCTCATTTATTCTCACATTCAATGGGCGTTTCGTTCTGCCCACATATAAAAGATCACAGGGACATTAAACATATATCACCCTTTTAGAAAAACAAGTAATCATTTCCTTTATTTTGTGTTTCTTTCCTCTTGCTGAATCGTGGAACTCCCTAATGTGTCTTTTTTTACTTTTTGTGTTCCTACAAGCTAAGCATTGTCCGCAGCCAAAAAAAACGTTATTTTGAAAAAAAGGTGTGATTGATTCTTCTTTTATATGATTATGTACTAGCTTTTGTTTCAAGTTTGACGCTACCCTGTATACAAATCTTGGTCTCTCTGGTAGTATAGAGTATAACATGGGGTCATTTCTTAGCATGGGCCAATGTTTATTTACTATCTTTTTTATTTTATGGCTTTCCTGATTGAAATTAGAGATAAAGGGCAACATATTATGCTCATTTCTCACTTTAGATTTATATTTCAAAAGGGAGGATCTTTCCATACTTTCTACTTCTTTTATAGTATTTATCAACAGATTATCCTCATATCCCTTTTCGACAAATTGGTTCTTAACCCTAGTGGCTTGAGTTTCAAAAGTGCTTGTATCAGTGCAGTTTCTACGAATTCTCATTAATTGAGCTTTTGGAATATTCCTTAACCAGGGAGAGAAATGGCAACTATTTAAAAAATATATAGTTGTTCACGTCTACAGATTTAAAAAAAGTTTTCGTTTTAATATGATCATCTTCTATAAAAATTGTAAGATCTAAAAAATTTACACTGTTGGTGCTATATTCCGTAGTTAATTTGACTCCCCAGTCATTAATGCTTAAAAAGGTTAAAAAAGTATTTAAAAGAGTTTCTGAACCATTCCAAATAAAAAATATGTCATCTATGTACCGCTTATAGGTGACCAGGTTCGCTCCCAATTCTATATTATTGTTGATATGTTTCTCTTCCCAAAATGCCATAAATAAATTGGCATAGCTTGGTGCGAACCTGGTCCCCATAGCAGTACCTACTTTTTGTAAAAAAAATTCATTATTGAACCAGAAATAATTGTTCTTTAAAATGAGATATTCCCTCTATAATAAAATTAATTTGCTCCTCCGGATATATATTATCTTTATTTAGAAAAAAATGTACTGCTTCTATACCTTTAGTGTGTGAAATAATAGTGTACAGAGAACTAACGTCTGCAGTTACCAAAATATAATGTTGTTCCCACTGTATATCTTGTAATGTCTGGATGATATTGAGGGTGTCTTTTAGGTAATTAGGAGTTTTCTGAACCACCGGTTGTAGACACTTGTCCAGGTATTCCGATAGTCTACTAGATATAGAATTAATACCCGAGACTATCGGTCTACCTGGGGGGTTGGTAAGATGCTTGTGGATCTTGGGAAGATGGTAGAATACAGGAATCTTTGGCTTAACGATATTAAGGTATTTATATTCTCTGTCATTTAATACTTCAATATCCCTTCCTTTCTGTAGTAGATTGTCAAATTTCTTTTTAATATTGGTAGTTGGATCACTGGGTAATTTTTGATATGTTATTTCGTCACTTACCAACCTAAGGCCTTCTAGTATGTAATCTTTTGTGTTCATAACTACGATACCTCCACCCTTGTCTGTCGGTTTTATGACCTTATTTTTATCCTTCTGAAGTGTTTTTAATGCCTGCCATTCTTTTTTATTTAAATTGTTATGTTTTTTATCTCTTGGTTTGATTTTACTTATTTCCTGCATTACTGCTTTTTCAAATGAAATCATCTCCTTGGATATAAAATTATTAGGAAAGAAGGTTGATTTCTCTTTAAGATCGGTGTGTACATACTTTGATATAGGAATTTGGTATGCCGTTTGGTCCGATCTTAAAAAACACTTCTTTAAACATAATTGTCTTTTATATCTATTCAAATCTATAAACATGTCAAATTTGTTTAACGGTTGTGTTGGGGCGAATTTTAGTCCTCTATTTAGAACTTTTTGTTGAGCCTGTGGTAAGGGATTTCCTGTTAGATTAAAAATAATTGATTCAGTATGTGTAGTTACTTTTTTTATCTTATTGTGTGTCTTTCCTCCTCGAGTTCCCCTCCTCTTAAATTCCTTTGTCTTTTGGGGGGCGTATTTTGGAGTGAAGATGCATTCTGTGGGGATTGAGCTACTTTGTATTTCCCTTTTTGACGTCCCTCCTAAAAAAAATCATCCTCATCCTGTCTATCTGTTAGGATTTCGAATCTATTATTTGTGTTTATGTGTTTTCTCTGTATTTCCTTCCTATTTCGTGTGAGAATTGGTGATCGTTCCCTTTCCTTCTAAAGCACAATATATAGGGTAAGTGCGTGTTTTAGCACTATTCCTTCACTGAAAAAGTCACTTTATATTCTCTGCACTCAGCGCTACACTCATGAGAAACTAGGGATCTGGGTGATACACAATATCTACCTAAATCCAAAGTTTTCTCTCTTTTTTGGTGTTTATCTATGTAAGGTGGGTTATAAGGAGTACCCACGGAGTGTATATAGCAGCTAAAATCACAAATTCACTTATTATATAGCGCCATTATTCCACATTCTTTTGTGTGTTCAAATTCTAATTATATAAATATACACGTAGACTTCAAATATATAAATATGCATATATATTTAAATTCTACATTTGTATTTATGTAATATTTTTACATAATTAAGTAATTTTATTGATTGCAATTTGAGGGACATGCCTCACAACCCAGGCCGAAAGTCCAGAGAATTTAATTTGCTAGCACTGTATTTTACCACTTAAATTTCTATGACACCCTAAAACCTGTACATGAGGGGTACTGTTTTACTCGGGAGACAGTGTGTGAGGGGTACAGTGTGTGTCTGGGGGGTACAGTGTATGAGTGGTACAGTAAGTGTGTGTGTCGGGTACAGTGAATTTGAGTGGGGTACAGTGTGTGTGTGTGTGTGGGGTACAGTGTGTGGGGGGTATAGTGTGTGGGGGGCACAGTGTGTTATAGGGGCATAGTGTGTGGTAGACGCACAGTGTATGTGGGGGGTACAGTGTGTGATAGGGGTACAGTGTGTGTGGGTGATTCAAAACAGTAAGACATATCACAGTGATGATATTGTCAGTGAAAGTGACTTTTTTTGCATTTTTCACACACAAACAGCACTTTTACTGATGATATAATTGTTGTGATATGTTTTCCTGTTTTGAAGCACTAATATTTGTGTTCAGCAAAGTCTCCCGAGTACAACAGTACCCCCCCATGTATAGGTTTTATAGCATTTTTGAAAGTTTTTTTACATTTGAAATATTTTTACATTGATATTTTTACATTGAAAATTGCCAGGTTGGTTACGTTGCCTTTGAGAGCGTATGGTAATCCAGGAATAAGAATTACCCCCATGGGGGGGGCGGAGCCTGACCGCTGATCAGATCAGACGTGCTTCGTTTGGGCTCCCGCATCTGAGCCAGAAAATCGGTGCCAACTTCATGCCACAAGCTGACAACCCAAATCGGTGTTCCTATTACCCACCAGCCGACAGGGTACACAGAGATACCTTACTCAACCCCACACAGCGCATAAGTAACCTGATTGAGGCCTGAGGCCTACCTGGGGTTGAGCTGAGGAGAGACAGCTGCTCTCCCGGTTCTCTGACCGGCGTCTTGCTACCCCCCACCTTTGGACCGGTGAGGGTTATCCCGGTCCCCACGGAGGACCACCACTGCTTATAGTTGCGCCCCAGCACCTGTCATGCCGCAGTTACAGACCGGGCAGTTGATTCCAAGATGGCCGGCAACCAAAAGCCTCGTGCACAACAAAAACATTATGACGGGACCAGGCAGTCCACTTGGGAACCCGTATTCCAGAGCCCACTTGAAACGCATGATAGCAGCTGGGACAACTTACCTGACCACCTCGAGAAGCCCGAAACACCGGAGACGCATGGTGAGAAGGGGGAGGAGGGGCGGTAGAGTTGCGGACCCCCACTGGGCACTTATTCCATGGCACTGCTACAGCCTCATGCGATGGGCCTACCTGGGCAGAAGATCATGAGGGATACATTCCCGGAGTATCGGGCACTGCCGCAGCAGATCCGACACCATCAGCGGCGATTACCCATAAGGAGCCAACGTCGCCGCCTTCATGGGAAGAACTTGGCTACCTACCGGAAGAACTGAATTTGTGGCCCAGAGATGCAGGTCTTGCTCGAACTCTGCCTCTTGCCACCAAGCCACCCCCTAAGCCTGCTACCAAGCAGGAGCATCGGCTGATCCAGGGCATTACTCCCCAAGCACTCAGCAGACGAAGGCGCCCTCAAGGTGGACTATATTCCTGACTTTGACATGCCGGCCTGCCTCGACAACCCTACACATGGTTCTTGTGCTTCAGTGTCTTGCTTGTATGTATGCCCGCAGGTTATTGTATTGCTGTTAAAGCGGATGTACAGGCAGCCTGCCAACCGATAATCACACAGTTAGCTGATAAGATACCACATGAAGCTGACAAACACGCAAGGCACACACCTGCACTGACATGCACCAGATTTGACATACGCAACCACACTCGATGCACCCACTGCTGCACCGTCATGGGTTGGCTGGGCCCGACTTCCAACACCCGCACAGTACACTACAACGTGGAACCCGTGGTTTCCTCAGCTTGGGAATATAACATGATGTCTCTACTAATATAAAGCACCTACACATATTCAGCCTGCAACACTTGGCTCATCTATGCAGCAGTGAACACTACCTAGTCTACACTTAAACACATTTACTGATCAGATCAGTATGTACTAATCTATGTTTAATATTACCTTAACGTACTCTAACCATTTAGCCTGTTTAGGCTGTTCAATGTTAACTCATTGAATCTTCATATCAGCGAAACCATCTGTATGAGCAGTTTACATCACTCAGTGAAAGCTTTGTCTAATCTACTTTATCTTATTTTTCTCTCAAAAATATAGTGCAAAGTATTTCCATGCCATGCCTATGTACCAATATGTATGATAACGATTTGTCTGCTGACGATGTCGTGGCGTTGCAAACTTGACTGTAACTACCAGCACTGCAAAAATAAAGAAATATAAAAAAAAAAAGAATTACCCCCATGATGCCATACCATTTGCAAAGACAACCCAAGGTATTGCAAATGAGGTATGTCCAGTCTTTTTTAGTAGCCACTTAGTCACAAACACTGGCCAAAATTAGCGTTCAATTTCGTTTTTTACGTTTTTCACACACAAACAAGTATGAACGCTAACTTTGGCCAGTGTTTGTGACTAAGTGGCTACTAAAAAAAACTGGACATACCCTGGGTTGTCTACTTTAAAAAAATATGTACATGTGGGGTGTGATTCAGAGATTTATGACAGATAATAGTGTTAAAATGTCACTATTGATAAATTTTAAAAATGTATGTTTTAAAACCGCAATATCCTACTTGTACTTATAGCCCTATAACTTGCAAAAAAAAAATAATCAAAAAAGCATGTAAACACTGGGTATTTTTAAACTCAGGACAAAATTTTGAATCTATTTAGCAGTTTTTTTAATTGCTTTTGTAGATGAGTAAACGATTTTTCAAGTAAAAGTAAAAAAAACTAAATTTTTCATCATTTTTTCAATTATT